TCTCTCTCTCTCTCTCTCTCTCTCTCTCTCGCTCTCCTTCCCGTTGTTTTCCCTTCTCGAAAGTACCAATTGAGGTCCTGTCGTGAACGATGAGCCATATCGTACCAATTGCTACGATAATGCGAGCGATGAGACCCCCCCGGTTGATTGAGAAGGCAAAGATATTGATTAGACCTTTAAAAACTTCTACGGATGAGCACTTCCCAGGAGGAACTATGTGTTGATCACGCTTGGATCTACTGTCTGTTTCGAAGACAAACGCAGAAATATCCTTACTTCAGTCGTCTGTTGCGAAGAAAAACCCAGAAATATCCTTACTTCAGTACGCGCCGTACCTACCACAACAAAAGAAGCATACCATGCCTGCGCAGCTACAAGGTGTTAAGATGCACTGATGACCTGTCGTCGGCGAAGATAAATGGCAATGGAATGTCATGTCATTTAATCACACACACACACACACACACACACACACACACACACACACACACACACACACACCTTTGAAAGCTTGGAACTGTCAATTTTGTTCTCCCCCTCCCCTCCTTGCCTTGTGTGCATCTGTCTCTCTGACCATCATGCTCTTGAAACAGGTGGGGCTATAATCCCTGTACCTTTGTGGCATACAGACAAACTTCATGCTACCATAAGGCTTGTTATACTTGCCTTGTGGCTGTATAGTACACGGCTACACGCCTTAATGGCTTCGAAGCTGGAACTGTGAAGAGCTAAAACTGTGCCTGGTAACGTTGGCTGGCACTAGACAACATTTCCAAACTGTGGAAACCAGATGGTGACTAATACTGGCTATCAGATGATGTTCACAAAAAAAAAAAAAAAAAAAAAAAAAAAGATGGACGTAAGGGGTGACAGAATCAGGACTATTCGGTAGTAATTTCAGTAGAGATTCTAGAGAATACGTTTGCTAAATTCTACGTCTTTTTTTTTTTCCGGCCTTTTGTGACTTCAAAAAAAAGGTTTAAAATAATAAAATTTTAATAAAATATTAAAAAAGTTAAAAAAACCCTTAAAGATAAGGAATTGTGTGGCTGTTGCAGACTCCTACTAACTGTTAGGCACTGAACTGGGGGAAGGGGGCGGGGTGGATGGGGGTTAAGGTGGTGAGGCGTTGGGTGGATGGCATGGGTCTGCAATCGGAAATGGCGGGTGAAAATGCAGACACTGGATACGGTGACTGTAACAAGCAGAGCAAGTGCGATGCCGAGGAAGACATCTACAAATTTGGCGCCGAGTCAGCAACAGCATCCATGCAGCAGCACAAAGGCACCTAGGAAATCGCAGCCGCAAGGTGGCCGTTACATTTGCGAGTCCCATAGGTCGAAACTTACCGCCGTCAGTTCGAGAGTAAGCCCTCATGCCAGAAGTGACTCTGTCAGGAATGACCTAAGCAAGGGCAGCACTGATCCACCAGTGATTTCCATCGATGATGACAGCTTGAAGGTGAGTGCTGCCCTTGACTACCGTCTTCACCTGAATATAACACTCGGTCATTATAACCGTATTTGGGGCCATTTTCTGTCCAGATGCAGCTATAATGACCGGGCGTTCTATTCGGGTGAAGACGGTAGTTCTACTGTTTTTTCAGAACTTGTGAAATGGCCCTACACCTGGTGCTGTTGTTCCTCCTCCTCCTCCTGCTCCTAATCCTCCTCCTCCTCCACCTCCTGTGCTGCTGCTGTTGCTGCCGCGTTTAGTAACCTGTTGATTTGCTAACACGCGAGGTGCGTAGCATATGGGCAAAGCATGGTAGTGTAGAAGAAATATACTCAACATATCAAACATCTCAGTGCCTTTGTCCGTGGTTCGTAATTCTGATAGTCTGAGACCAGAATTCCATATGGGCTATCTTTTGGTTGTTGTTGTTGACGAAAGCTAAAATCCTGTACTTCAACGAGGTTACTAAGATTTGAGCTACGGAAAATGCTCTGTAAGCCATAACAGAGCATTAATCTCTCTCTCTCTCTCTCTCTCTCTCTCTCTCTCTCTCTCTCTCTCTCTCTCTCTCTCTCTCTCTCTCTCTC